TTGCTCTGTGTTAGCCTCAAACCCAAGTAAAATATTCTTTTGTTTTATTAATAGCCCGAGAAAATGCATGGAATTTGTGAAGAAAAACAATAAAATTGATTTGAAATCTCACACTTTTATTCTCACAATTAGGAATATTTTGCGCACAAATGAGGCCAACACAGAGCATTGGAGAATTCGAAACTGGATTATTGTTCTCTTTTAAAATTATTTTGTTATGGACGGTTTTTGAGATAGTAAAATGTTATGAATTGCTCATACTAGCAGCCACTTCTTACACACTATATTATGCATTGAACTAATTTAGTTAAACACACAGCGTAATAGACTCGCGAAACTCGAATATTGGAGTATTTCTTCGCAATGCATTATATATACGTGACATGGTCTAGTTTTGAGTCGAGAGTCGGATTTACCTGTGTACCCAGCATTGATCAGGCGGTGGAAAACCTTTTCCCCCTTTACAAGTTTCCTCAGCCGGAGTCTTACAAGACTTCACTCCATCGCATGTATAACACTTCAAAGCAAAACCTGTGAAAACAAGCATCAATTCACACTTTAATTAATGCAAGAACTCACTGGAAAAAATCGCGCACCATAAAGGTTGTAAATTTGATGGAAATATGTTGAATGTGTCCAAAATGATGTAAATTTGATGGAAATCATTTGCATCAAATTTACAGAATTTTGGACACTTACATCATATTTACATCAAATTTACAACCTTTATAGCGCGCGATTTTTTTCCAGTGACTTCGCCGCCATTTTGAGTATATCGCAACGGCATTTCCTCCTCCTCTTCCTTATTGTTGACATTATTTAAGGGACAAACTTAAATAATGCTGTACTATACAGAAAAATAATTTCTCTGATCGAAATTCTTGAACAAACTAAAATCACGTGACATCGCGACACCGTGAACCGCCCCCTCATATTTTGAATTTAAGAACATTTTCAACGACATTTTCATTTTTTCGCCAAATACCCCTTAGGTATCCCATAATTCCTCAATGTCGGCCATGAACCATTTCCCCCTGAGCACCATACATATTGTCAAAATGTTTATCTCATGGTCTTCACTAGTAGACTTTGAGTGGTCACAAGCGCGCATGATCTTATCAATGAAGTCTTTTATTTTGAGAGGGTAGCACGTAATAGTCTCTAGACTAATAAACTTGTGGCCCTCTATATATTCACTCACACTCACTACCTCAACATTCATTATTTTACTACACGACACTCCTCACAGCTAGTTTTTGACTGAGGGAGAAAAACCAGCGGACCTGGAGAAAAACCCTCGGAGCAAGGAAGAGAACCAGCCTACAAACTCAAATCACATATAATCCCGGACCGGGAATCGAACCAGGACCACAGCGGTGATAGACCGGCATTTTAACAGCTCGGCCATCCTTGCTCCCCTATATGGGTCATTATCTAATTCAAGATGGCGTCCTTACTGACGGCGTTCCAAACTTGCCCAAGCAACGCGCTTTTAATCTTTATATATAGTAATATGTGCATTACATTATTGACTTGAAGATCTTCCGGTGCTGCATGATGCATACCCCCTACCTTTCATGCCTTTGAATGTCAAATTTAGTATGCGCGGCAATGCTAAAACGCTAGCCAACAAAAGAAGGTTATTGCGCAAATTTCGAGTTCAYTTTCCTAAGCACGCCTCAATGGTTAAACATTTTGTTCTCTGATATCCTTTGAAATGATGCGACAACTCAAAAATATCAATGAAAATCAATTATAGTCGGTTATCGAAATTTTAGCGAGAAGTTGATTAAGCAATGTTTCAGTGCTGAAAAACTGTTGGAACCGGAGTATGAAAAAAGCTGAAAACTCTGCTTACCGTTTGCTACGAGGCACATAAAAACTAGAACAGATACGGMTGAWAACATTGTGAAAAACTCCAGCACTAATGTCAACACTTTCGCAAATGAAAAGTTCAGTCTTTCTAGTGACTTGGCCAAACAGTAAAACTGAAAACCCTGTTTCAGCTCAATGTTTTATCGTTTAATATCAATGCTGTTTCATTATTTAAAATCAGATCCTTATTTACATATGCGTACACTGATCTCTTTCAATAATTGGTGCTCTAAGACCTAAAGCAGATAAAGGATTTCGGGTACTCTTATACCCGACCGATAGGAATTCTGGGACATCCCTAAAAAGCAAAGTCGACGTCCATTGTGCCTTCACATCGAAATCTTTCCTTCAATTATTTTTAAGCAATTAAAATAGTTTCTTTTTTCTTTTTTTTTTTCAATTTCATTCATGCATAATCATATGGAAAAATATTCCCCTGTCATAGGCGTTCCACATGATATAATTTGCCAACGATTTGTTAGTTGTAGAAGTAGTTCCATCCCAATACGTCCAGAAACCGCTTCTTACATGATGCCGTTTAAACTTATGATATTTGTAGAAAAAATGAATTCCAGTTATTATTTTCATTTAAGATCGTTGATCTTCTGGTTTTGTTTGTTTGTTTGTTTKWYCGTTTGCTATTGTGTCGGCATATTAAAGAGCAACCAAGCAAAAATAACTATATATAATTAACGACATATCTACATATTACTGTGTGCAACAAGTGTGGTCAAATAGTATCAGGCAATTAATGAATACAAATGCGCAAATCACTTTTTCCATACAAAATGTCCCAAACATTCCTCATGTCATCAATTACAAAAAGTTCAAAAGGTATAAATTGCTGATCGATGGGCCGTTATATTAATTATTCGGCGGGCTCAAATCGTTGGTATTCAGAAGTCGGCAGCAGTCCATACTTTGCACGGCGCTGGGAATACACAGCTTTAAACTCCTCGTACTTTTCTTTCATTTGATTATCCTTTTTGGCCTTTCGATTTCTTTTTGCCTTCTTGTAACAACAACAATAGATGCAACAGCACAAAGACACCAGAATAAAAATGACCAATGACGGTACGACTAGAACAAAAACGAAACCAGAAACGCGACATTGTGCATAGAAAAACTYCTTGTGTGGGCAGYTTCGTGGGATGAACTTCAGCCAACCTGGATWATGAACGCATTTAGATGTCTCTGAACACCAGTAACATGCTGAATTTTGCGTGCATATTGAACACGAAGCGTTTCGTTTACCACAATCGCTTTCAGCTGATGCTGGAGTAATAGAATTAGTTAGGTACAATGTAAATGCAACCAAACAAAACACGACCATCTTGGAATTGATACCCATTGGTGGTGTTGTAGCTCGCGGTCAATCGTTCTTGATAAACTGTTATAGAAGTTATTGTTTTTACTAGATTGATATTTGACTAGTGTTGAAGAATCACATAAAAAATTCCAACAAATTCCACTTGYGCACTAAGTAATTGTAGCCTCTTGTTACAAACTTGTCAGTCTTGTCCAAAATCAAGAAAACCTAAAGAMTTTTTTTATACGTGATCGTTGATTACCACACGCTCAAATCACGAAATTAAATGGCTTCGTTTTTTCCATTAGTGCAACCAGCGTAGCACAAAATGTCAATTAGGTTATGTGGACCGTAAAAGATTCTCATGGGCAGCGATGCAGTGCTTTGAGGTATATAGGGGAGGTCACAAGCTACAAATTCATATATGTAATTTTACATTCGATCAACCACATATAAAGAACTTTTAACTATTAAAAAGTTACTTTAAAAAAGTTTTATTCTAATRATTTTTAACTTGAAAGGATGTTTTTAAAAGATGTCAAAATTCAGTGCGCGCAGCTTTCGTAACTTTGACCCTCTCCCCTTAGATATTGCGAKTTAATAGTCTGCGTTCAGCCTCTGGCAACTGGCTTTAAATCTTTTGCAATTCAAATCGGCATTGCTGGGCCTAGGTACATGTAGCATGACGATGAAGAATTAGTAGATTGCTAAATAAAGGCATTAAACGGGAGGCTCCTTAAAAAGCGTCAGTTAGAAATGATCGTAAAAACATTATGCAAAACCAGCACGTACTTTAAAACTGGCAAATAGACTTAGGGTTCAGAAACACTTTAGAGGGTGGAAATCTCAATCCGACTATCGTCAAATAAATAAAATTTTATCACATTGAGTGAATTATAAAATTTGAGCAAGAAGAACTCAACACGCCCATTTCATAGGAGCAATAGCATTCGTAAAGTTAGGGGGAGGGGGGTAGTGGTTTCAAATAATAATTGAAATGTGCTCCTTTTTAAAAACATTAAAACTTAAGATGTTTACAGAATAATCTATATATGATATATATGATCTTCAAACAATTCGCGGCTATTTTTATACAAACATTTATAATATTTGTGAAAGTATAATATTTTTGGTTTTACCCTCCCTCACTSAGGTGAGATTTTGCTCYGACGTCATAGGTATATTGACATCTCTTGCATTGCTCACTCGATACACAATCACGGTCACTCGAGGGACGTTTGATGCTTGAGTGAWTTTATCCTCAATCTCYAAACCACAAAGAAACAATAATTTGTGACTTGAASAACACGAGAGAGTTGTCTTGMTGCCAGTGATGAAAGTCTGACATTTTGGACAAGTTAAAGCGAATACAGAAAGATTTGTTAATTTCATTTCTTCGAATCGACTTGAGCGCGGGTTTGACCGTTGGAATTTTTTCCTTTTTCTAAATAATTCTACCAAAAGGCGAAGAAGAAGTACTTTTTGTACAYTTCTGGTGGTAACTACAGACCAGAAAGAAGAGTATCAAAATGGCCATCGATTCAAAGTTACTCGTGTTTACTTTGGTCGTGTTTACATTATACCTTGCTCATTTCACCAATCCTGTATCAGCTGAAGTCGTTTGTGGAAAATATAACTCCTCGTGCTCGGCATGTACWCAAAATTCAGCTTGCTATTGGTGYTCAGAGAACTCTAAATGCTTCCATTACCCAGGCTGGACCAAGATAGTCCCACACAACTGTCCCCATAAGAAGTGGTATTATGCTCAATGTCGAATTTCTGGTTTCATACTTATTATTCTTGTTCCTTCGCTCATCGTCTTCGTGCTCTTGTTCTGCTGTTGTTGTGTCTACTGCTGTTGCTGTAGGAGGTACAAGAAGTGGAAACAAAAACGCCACGATAAAGAAGATGTGAAGTTGAAACGAAAGCGGGAAGAAATGCAGGCTTTACACTCACAACGACGATCCGATAGGCAACAAAAAGCTGATGGCATAAGAAAGAAGTACGGCCTTCTTCCTTCTTCTGGATACGAACGTTTGGAAAACCAATGAAACATTAATAACTCTGTTATAAACATTAACACTTAWGCAGAAAATCTGAAAAATCTAGTAATCAAAGATTTATATTTGTGCGCGATAAAACAGACAGCCATTTATTTTGCTAAAAGTCGAAAGAAAGCTGATATTTTTGCTACATTTTTATGGATCAGTAATTCGTATTWTTTTTTCTAAAAGATCTCAGTAATGACAACAATGTAGTTTATTTTTCTTTGATCTGTACATGTGGCTTGTGTAATATTGGGTAAATATTGGATTGAATAATATTTTTGTATTTGTTGGTATTATATTTATTTTACTTTTCCAGTATAATGCGTACCGTATTTCTAATTTGTATCACTGAAAAGATAGCAATATTTTGTTACCTATACTTTTGCTAGCTCTTGAAGTTCTTGATTAAAAGTAATTTAATAAAAGTTGTATTATTTTGGTTAATTAATCAAAAGGACATTAGGGGAGAAGGGGTCAGTATATCACGTGACATGGTCTCCCGCGCGGAATATAATGGCGGAAGGAACAGGGTAGTTCTGTATACATGTTCATTGTTTACGTCCAACAAAGAACTTTGCGGAACTCTTTACAACTATAATTTAATCACATACTAAATCAACTCATAAGGAAGCGATGGTGCTAATATGAAAGAAATTGGGCGTACATTCAAGGAAGTGTTCAAGCAGAAATTACAGCGTTCAAGGCAAGGTGATTCAACTCTAAAGTCTAAACGGTGTTTACTTTTATTCCGGCTGTATATTGAACTCTCTCTTGGTATCCTAATCGCGAAAACGTTTCCTACTAGCTCAGCTGGTAAGTAACATAAATGTTGAAAGTTATTTCCCAATTTAGAATAGTTTAATTTAACAGATATCTAGCCTTATAGTTATTAGGAAGTCGGCTAAGTTTATCTTCAATTTCGGGAAATGAAAGTCGAGTGTTCGGCAGATACAAGAAAATTTCCTACTGATTTCGCAGCGAGGCAGATTAAACTGTTGTGTTCAATGCAATTTAGTATCCTTTAGGGAGTCTTTACATTGTAAACTCAAATACAAGGAACGGTTAGCACATAATTTGCAAAGCAGTGTAGATATAAGAGTTAAATATTCTTCTGTCAAAAAAGTTCTAACTCAAATATTTTATCGCGACACTTACTTAAGCTTTCCTTAATCTTATGATCGCTTYTGATTTCTTATGATCACTATTTGTATTTTCCCAATACCAATATACGATATTTTTTGTTTATTTTTAAAGCACGTTTATCGGCATTTTAATTCTCAACATATTCATGTAGCTTTCACGCTAGAACGAGCWGTTATAAATATTTAGRTATTCTTATTTTAATTATTGTTATTGAGTTTTGTCTTCCATTCTTGGGCATCGATAATTATTTTTTCAATTTACTTGACACTTTGAACAAAAACTTGCAGGTTTATTTAAAAACTTCTTTAATATTTTAAAGTTTTTGACATCAAAGCTATGAAATTTGATTGACAAGGAATGGAAGGAATGTATGAAATAAAACACTGAGATAAATTATGCATTTGGCGTGTCGCAGTTTTTTAAACACATTAAATTATTGGCTTTAATAAGATACCTTTTTAGTATTGCATTGTATTAGTCTAAAAAAGATAAAAATGTTGCATTCTAAGAATTCCTAGGTTCGTGACAATGAACGAAGCATTGAAACAAGGCRTCAAGGTACAGTGAGCAAAAATGAAAAGACTGTGCTCGGGCGTCTCGGTTTAATGCTTTATTTGTGGTCTYTGAATTTGGGTATGGAAGGTCATGAATTTAATACCAACCACCACACAATTAAATTTTTTGGTCAGAATAATGAATTTGAAAGATTTTTTTCTGACTTGTATCCTAAGATAGGATTAGAGTTTCAACATTTTTTAGTTGTAATTTTGATATTCCTTCTTGTTTCTTTCTTTCTTAGTTCCCTCCTCTTTTCCTTCACTGTTTCATTCTTTCTTCCCTTTTCTTTTTCTCTTCCATTCTTCCTCCCTTCTATTCTTTATCTTTCCTAATAAATCACTTCTTCCTTCCATTGTTTATTGACTTTCTTCATCTTTACAACACRTTGTCACTAGTAAATAAATATTCAAAACAATATGTGACTTTATTTTCCAGTAAGAGTCATCAAAGTACTAGAAGGAGAGACAGCACTCCTAGACTGCACCAACAAGACATTATCTGGACAAGTTTCATATCAATGGTCACCTAAAGATGGTACATTTATTCCAAACCACATACCAAAGAACACAAGTACTTTAGTGTTACCTGCTACTAATAAAAATTCATCAGGCACCTATCATTGTCAATACACTACAAATGGTTCATCATTATTCAATGAGTCTCTTCAACTTATTGTACAATGTAAGCAAGTATAATTTGAAAACAAT